GTTCGACGAAATACTTGTTACAAAATCAAAACTTATCTATTCCACAAATAATATACCCATTATGTGGTTATGTAATCGACTATATAATTAAGTTTGGTAATATACGGCATGTACACCACTGAAACTTGCTGTGGAAGTACCAGTAGTGAAAACAGCCCTCAAAATCAGCATACAACAGAAAACGCCAGCGCCCTATGAATAATCTTAGAAAAGCAGCCACATAATACACATGCACCCATGCACATACATAATAAAAACGAAACACAATGTAGAGTCGGCCGGAGCTCGTGATTAATTAGAAACAATGCGAGCGGCCCGGGGCCCGGCCCGGCCCGGCCCGGCCGGTCTCCGTGCGCGCGAAACAAAGCGCGCAATCCCGCCGGAACCGGCCGCTCTTCCCGCACCGGCGCACACCCGCGCACTCGCTTCACAAAAAACGCTCACTTTTTTGCATAATTATCTAAGACAAGCTGCGGTCGCTGTAGCAGTAAAGTATCTGATAAAATATATTTCCAGTGACAGCGCTCCGCAAGTTACAGATTAGCCACTCACACTGCTGTCAATACAGATAATCGTTTATTTTAATTGAAAACCGACTGTACAACTAAAAAGAACTAAAATAAAAAACTTTAAGTTCATGTTAGTAGACGGTAACACAAGCGTAGAATAATATAATGATGAGTGCAGGCGCGATCACGTTAACCGACCTACGGCGGAGCATGAAGACACCTATGTTATAGCCTGGTATATATTGTTCCCACCTTCAGACTTCAGAAAATAAGTGGAGATGTCAATGAATGCGCTTTTACAATAAAATTCCCGGGGACATTCAAAATCTGAGCTTAAATAAATTTTAATGATCATAAAGCGTAAACTTTACTGTAAAGCATTTTATAAAATAAAAGACTATTTAGAAGATAGTCGGCCTTGGGAATAAGCCTAAGGCCTAATACGCCTAAGGCGTTAAGTCCGCCATTGTACGTTGTGCAAGAAGTGTAAAATAAATAAATAAATAAATAAGCCGCTGTAACGTCTGCACAGGTCATGTTGACATGTTTGTAACATAAGTTGCACTTTTATATACAATTTAACATTGATTAGAAATATTGACATTTTTATATAAATAAGCCAACAACAAGCCCGAGTTAAAAGGCTTATAATTGATATAGACAAGCAGCCGGTAACTTTGTTCCATTCACCATAAAGTATCAACTATGTTAATTCATATTTTAATTAATTTCTTTTTATAACAAGTAGTATATTTAACTTTCAATTCTATGTATAGTAAGACTTTATTTTTTAATATTGTTTAAAGTCCGTTCGCATGGTAAACACAAATTAAGTTAAGCAGGGAAACCTATTATTAGCCTTACTAAACTGTAATATCTTTATTTGTATTATACCACATGTATCGCTGTTGGTTTTCTAAATAAATAAATAAATAAAATAGTACATTTGACATATTTCAGTATTTTACCAATTATTGCTAGTGATAGTTATCAATGTTCTGACAGTCTGAGTATTTGCGCGACCCACCCGAATATTCTTTTGATCGGTATTAACTGTTGGAGAACTCAGCAACACCTGTTAGTTTAACTGGTTCTAAAAATCCGTCCAGAAATTCGCGAAAAAATATGCAAAAACTTTGAAACGCTACTCCTCAAATTAAATGAATCAGTCGCCATGGAAAAGCGGTTTTGAGTTTTGAAATTTTGAGGATATTGAATGAAGATAATTTGTAAGTGGTTGAAAGAGCGTTAGTTTCCTCTAGAATTTCAAGCTTAACGCTTGATTAGACCGGCGCACGTTACCTTTGTTCTTTCTTATAAGTAACTGCTGCTAAGTATTTCGCGAATTTTTTTCATAATTAGCTCTGACGGCAAGTCGAAGCTAATTATGAGAAAGTCCTGTTCTTACGGTGCGTCGTGTTCACGTGCAAACTCAATGATGTATCGCGGCTCGGCTCGGAAAACGAGAAGGATTACATTGGTTTTTGTTAGTTGAGGAAGAAGAAGGAAAAGGCGGGACGAACTTGACATCTTTGACAAGAAATAACTGGCCGGAGAAAGCTTTGCGCGCTTTGACCGGCTTAAAATAATAAAAACTTTCAGTCAACAACTTATTACAAAGCAATTATTTAATTTAATATCAGTACTATGTTGTTAACATGAAACGCGAAACTTTTAGTTAGTTACAGTCTGACATATTTTCTCACCACATCGAGGACGGGAGAAGTAATTAAGTGATCCCTCCCTCTCCCGCGCAAAAATGTCCTCCAGGATCACATAACAATTAGAGTTTAAATGGTAAAGTGCGTGCAGGCAGTCGCGCGGCCCTCGCGTGCCGTGGGCGCGTTAGGCCGGTGTTCCGGTCTTACTCTGCGAGCTGATTGATCGTTGCGATTACTCGCTCATTCACGTCTACTTTGCACCGCGACCGGCACCGCAGCGCCGCAACGACTATGTCTGGCGCATATTTACGCCAGACATCCTCGTAGCCAGCTAGACACTGCACGCCACTTGCCACTTGCACACTATCTCAACTCACTAGTACTTCTACAAGCGCTACAACTCTATATTACTCATTGTAAGTACATATATAATGACTATTTATTTTATTTACTTATTTTAAGGTAAACTAAACAAGTGCTTTGGGAGTTAGATTCCTTGCTCACAGTTGAGAATGATTTAGCATTAATCACACGCTTGCTTAGGTGAATAGGTAATTTCAAACTTATAAGTCCAAGCTTCTTCACCTAAGATTATGTTGACATCTTTGACATTCGGTATGACATTGGATAATATTTTGTCCAATTTTTTAATTCAATAAACATTATGAAAATAATAATGTTTATTCTTAATTATTTAGCTAATTTCCTTCGCATACCCGAGGAACAAAACAATGAACAAAAGAGTGTTGCAATAACGATGAGCTTACTTGAGGCAAATATACATACTATCTATGTGTGCTGTATGATAGGTATACTAGTGTGGCGTAGCATGCCATGGTGAGTCTAAAGCCAACTCTATCTCTCTATATCAGCAATTCTTATGATAACGATTATAACGTCTTTGTAACTCATTTGAGCGACAGTACAATATTTAAAAACTGGACAGATGACATCATCGAGGCGACATTCGGAGGTGTGAGGCTAGAGAAGGGTGCGGGGGGACGCGCGCAGACACTTTAAAAGAACATCAGTGAAATCTCAGATCAAATAATTCATATCTATACGACGGAAGCGAGTGTTTTATTCCTTGCGTCAAGAATGTTTTCAGAGGATGCCTACGCCGTAGCTCTCTGCTACGACGTAGCACGCCACTAGGTTACGATGTTGAGCATTCGTAATTCTATTGATAAGAAGATTATTTCTGATAGGAAATGAAATCAATTACTTATATACTATAAATATACTTGCTTGCAGGCTGAATGTAGTAACTTTTAGGATATAAGATCTTTCCTTATAAACAATGTAATAAATAAATAAACACTTTTGAATTTGAATTCAATTTTGCTCCTAATTTCTCTCTTAAATTGTTTTTTCACTCTGCAGTAAACATTATGTCGATTTATGTACGAAATTTCTAACTTTTTACTGTAGATAAAATATAAACTCTAAAACAGCATAGAATATTAGAAAATTCCGTCAGTAAACCATACTATAAATTTGCTTATGCTCAGCTCCCTTCCAGGCCCCACAGCACTTAGACATAAGTCACAATGGACGTCGCGACCACTCGATGCTTTCATTAAACCAATATTTCAACTATTTGTAAATGTAAATTGTCTTTACTCAGACATACCTTTCAATAATCTCTGTAATTGTTCATTGTGGTTGCTTTATTTTATATTCAAACTCTTAAACTTCACCGTTTCGTCCGTCCATTACATATTAAATTTATCGAATGGGAACCTATACATACACAATTTTAAATATTAAGCTATCTCAAAGCATAACAGCATTTGCAATAGGCTCCACTTTTACCATTGAGACCCTAGTAGTAAGTCCTTCAACCACCAACTACGATTAATGTTCATGTTGCGCCTCAGCCTACCATACCGAGAAATAGTACCCAGAAGGCTGCGCGGGCAGTGCAGCGCTAGCGGTTACAGCGACACAGCAGACAGGTGCGCACATAAACTCTCGGCGACGGTGTTAATGTTAATGTTAACAAAACTACTCTGTTTGATTTGTTAATAGCTCCGCGTGAACCCAGTGAGCCACTCGCTCCATTGTTCCCAGCGCTCATTATTTTACATTGTGTGCTTAGCTCTGATATACTGATCGTTTGTTCACTACGCACGTAAATTACTATTACTATCTTGTTTCGTGTAATTAGTGCAGGTTTTTAGAAATCACTCGTCGTTTAATTTAGCATACCTACTGGTGACCAGAGCTCTAATTATAAAATGAACAAAACGTTCGGTAACACTTGCCTGGCTCGCTGCCCCACTGTGGGTAACGGTAATGTCAACTGCAGCTGAAGGTAACTGGCGACTGCTTGCTTACGAAGAACAAGTTTTCAACGAGTTGTCGCGAATGTTCCGAATTGATGTCTCACCAAACATTTAAAATATTCATTAAAACTAGTGGCGTGTTTAAGTGCTGAGCGGCGGCGCCGAGTGATGCCGAGCATCGCCGAGTGTTGCCGAGTGCAGCCGAACGGTGTCGAGAGGTACAGTGAACACTGAACACCCTCGTCGGGTGTTTACACTGCTCCACTTAACGAAACATCCATTAGCTACAGTAACAAGTTGCGCAAACTCGATCCGGCCTCGATAACTATTCGGTGTTTACAATACACCGCCTCATTTACATACGGATTTGTATCTGCGTTGTGAGAGCACGCGCCTCCGTACATACTTGACAGACCTCACGTAGTTTTTTATTCAAAAATAGGTGTTTCGTATTTTACCTGAGACTGTAGGCAGAATCTGACTTGTGTTATATTATGAATGTATACAGAGTATATAGAGACGCGCAGCGCGGCAGTACGTACCTTTGATGAGGTGCGCGGCGAGCACGAGCGCGGCGGTGAACACGTGCAGCCGCCACGCGCACGCGCACATCCTGCGCGACTGCACGCACCCTGTGGACAAGGAACTTGTGTTACTCCACCACTGCCACATTCAGGTAACTCCTACATTATACTGTGCTGCATACACTACTACATCTATATATGTATAAAACTCAATCCTAATTTCACTTGAACATATCGTCACGCGTCAGCGCCTAGTCTGACTCCGATAGTTCTTGCTTTCGGTGCTGTAGCGGTTTGGTAACAACAAATGTGTTACATCGCGGTTGGAAAACCGTGCGACGCGGGGTCGAGCCATTAGTTATTAATAGAAACTTGATGCAACTTTTCGAATATTTTGCATAATGTCATAAAATTGCACAGTTGCAGAGCCACTGGGTAATTGTCATATCAAAGGAGTCAAGTATCTTCCAAACTATGTGACATTGATGGAAACTGACGAACAAACAGCAACTAATGAAACTGTAAAATATAAAGCATTCACACGGCGGCGCGCGCTGAGCTCCCAAATAGTATAATCGATAAACTAACCGATGCTATCACGGGAATTACTTTAGCTAACTGAGTATGTAACTACTTTCTTTGTGTCCCGAGACTTTGGTCAATGAGTTCTTATGATAACTGCGAGGTGCAGCCGACTGTGGAAACATTCAACTGAAAATCTCCTGTTCTAAGCCATGTACATCCTTAAATGCATATAAACAATATCTTGCCGGCGACCTCCACTCCATATTTTCACAACAATTGAGGAGTTTTAAATGTATGGCCTACCTTTTGGGATTATGAATTTGTAGTTTTTGGGATTGGGGAGGGAAAGGATTCCAGTAACCTCATTCATACGGCGAAACACAAGGCTGTGTTGTTTCACGCCGGTTTTCTGTGACGCCGTGGTATCACTCCGGTGGAGCCGACCCATTCGTTCCCATGCATGACTCTTCCATATGATATTTTAAATCAGACATTATCGTCAAAAGTATATGATTTCGTTAGAAAATGAAAACTATATCTGCATAATATAAACAGGAATTTTAATTTAATTACTGTCTTCTCATGGATGAGATCCACCTGTGTTCACAGCCTCGCTAGGAGAAATTCTACTTTTGCCAAAACGTACGTTTGTACGTATAAAAGATTTTATAGACATCATTAATATACGATGAAGAAAAACATCGTGACCCTCACGATATTTTTTCTCTCTGAACTTATAACCTTTAATTATAAGATTAAAATTACCAATTTGTCTTGAGCGTTACTACAACAAATCATGAAGTGCTGTAGTTCACCATTCACCACGCTTACACACATTTTTCCTCCAACAAACCTAAACGAATCTCGTGCGGCTGCCGTGCGAAGTTCCCCGGCCAGCGTGTCGCGCCCACAAGAACAATGCAAATAGTATCGCTCGCTTTTTGTACAACAATAAAATATCGCCACACACGGAATTAATGTCCCGTTTTGAAACAACTTTTGTAATATCGCCTTGTTAGACAAAAGTTATGGGTAATGGCGGGCTGCGCGCTTGATACATGACTGGCTCTGCCGTCGCTCTACCGACTACTACAGGCCAAAGGACTGTTAGGGGTTTTAATTTCTTTATTTATTTTAATTTAATCAGTTGGGGAGTGCCTGATATAATTAAAATAAAAACGAAATTATTTAAGACAAATAAGATTTTGGCTATCGCTAAAAAGTTTGAATCTACATTAAAAAACCGAGATGATCGAAAGAGGCGTTTGCCCAGTAACGGGACAGTTGCATGCTGATGATCATGATATCCCGTAATTCATACAAACACAACAACAACAACTACAAACTGCACAGTTACCACGTATGTATGTATATTCATGTCTTGAGAAACATTTTGTCAATGGTCAACAATCTCTTAGAAATTATTAAAATACAGCAAAACATTGTAAGCAAAGTCTAAAAGAAGCGTCAGCCCGGCCATCGCGTCGCATTAAGTCTATGCGAACGAACATGAAAAATATTGACGGCACAAATGTCGGCATCGATCTCTTGGATTACGCGCGTTCTGGAGGAAATGAGTGATTCAACATCGCGCGCCACCTTGCGTCGGAAATTAAATATTTCTCTTTGCGTGCTTGTGTTCGTGTGTGTGTAACTGAACGACAATGTGAGGCGCCGCTGCTGGCGGGACCAGCACTGGCGCGGCAGCCGTGGAGGCTGAGTCATTGCGGCCAGCAGTACTTACGGTGCGGTCTGTGCGTGTTGGTATGCATTTGCACTGCTTCACTCATGTAGTAGTTTACTAGTTTGTCAAATACAATATTTTTTTAGAGTTCTAGTAAAAAATATTATATTGTGACCAACCGTTTTTAAGCTAGTTTTTGTGAAATATTAATATAATTTTTTTTTTTTTTTTTTTTTCTTTCTTTTAAAAAACGTTGCCCCACTTTAGGATTTTCTCCTGTGTTGTGGGTGCGTTTACAAACATACAATGTCACATACACATGACACCCAGACCCGAAACAACAATTTGTGGATCACACACAGTGTTGTTCCGTGCGGGAATCGAACCCGCGGCATGTTGCACGGCAGCCAGTTGCCCAGCCACCGCACCAACCGTGCAGTCGAAATTGTACATATTTTAAATCTTAAAACAGGTCATAGCCCGTTTCACAAATATAGGTGTTCAAAATAATATGAGTTCTATTACATATGTTTGTTAATTCGATACATTTAAGTTTTGCTCTGGACTCGCTTGACGGTAGAAATGCTAATAACTGCATGACGCGCGCACAAACATATAGATAGCTAAAAAGCTATATATTCATGGAATACAAAGTGAAAACTGAGTTCGACTGCTACTTTCCGTCAGCTGGTAATCTGTGTTAAATAAATATAAGAATGCGACGGGCAGATCATAAATTGTCGGAAGTGTCATGTTAAGACAACAAATGATGATACGGCAGGGCGCGGGGCGGGACCTGCCGCCAGTGCTGCCTGTGTGTCACTCGTGTACCGCGCTTCGGTCTATTTTAGGTAATGCTACAATAAATAATGAATAGTTTACAGTCCATTCATGTCTCGGAGACACCAATCCTAAGAAATATATTCGAACACAGACATGTTTACAGAACCATAAATTATTTAAAAGTATCCTGCATTATAAAATCGGATAAAAATAGCGCATTTTCTGAAATAATATAGTTGGTATGTATAACGTACATATTTTTCACTAGCTGTTGCCCGCGACTTCGTCCGCGCGGACGCCGTGAAGCACCAAAAATACTATGCCTGCGTCATTTAAGTGTAGTTTTTTAATGAGCAACTTTTAAGATCACATTCCCTTGCAGTTGGCGCTGCAGTATAACTTCACCTCATGAGTACCTCTACATCCCACGAATAACAGAATTTAAAGAAACACAATTATAAAATTTCTCTATAAACTACATTTGTAGTTTTGCTCTCAGTAGCCAAAATGTATAGAGAGTCAGGACTGGTGACGTGGGAGTAAGCGACGTACAGTTGTTGTAAGCATGATCGGGACGCCAACCTTCAGCTTGATGTTATGTTCTGGAAGTCCACTTGCTGTGAGGGAGTTGAGAAATTCCACCGGATAGTGTGTGGCGTCATCTTGCTCGACTACGGTGTTTATGGAGGTTTTTTTTTTTTTTTTTTTTTTTTTTTTGTGAGGGGAAAATCATCAAATGACTTCTCCCGCCCAGGGCCGGGCAGGAGGGAGTGTCAGACTCTTACTGACTAAAAACCCCCCTGTTCCTTCTCCTGCTCTGTGCCGAGGTCGCGGTACCTCATTGCGCTTACCCCGCAACCCCGGCTGAACATCAGCCCTTTAGGGCCCCGTCTGTGGTGGTCTATTGGCTCTTTGAGGCGCGCGCGGAACGCTACGCGCCGTACGCTCGGGCCTGGTTCTGGTCGGGCGGCGAGCTGCCCTTACTCGCCGACCGCAGGCCCGTACTTACGGTGGCCGGAGATCGTCCCTCGATCCCCGACGCCCGTAGTGTCGCCAGTTGCGGCTGCTGGGGCGTGAGGAGGAGGATTGCTCCCTCACGCGGGCCGCCTCTCTCTTTGCGAGCATGACTGCTTCACAAAAGGAGGAGACGGCGTCCCAGTTCCTCTCACTCCGCACCATGGCCTCGACTAAGGCCGGGCGCGAGAGGTCGCCGCCGCCGATCACTTCCCTGAGGATACGGCGGTGCTCAGCCCAGGCAGGGCATACCGCTACCGTATGCTCCACCGTATCCTCTAGGTGGTCCTCACAATGACGACACTCGGGCGTTTCCTCCCGCTGAATCCGAAACAGGAACCTACCGAAGCTGCCGTGCCCGGTAAGCACCTGCGTCAGACGGAAGGTGAGGACGCCGTGGCGTCTCTCAAGCCACTCCTCAAAGAGGGGTCTTACCGCTGCTATGGTAGCGTGCCCGGCCCTCGGTTGCGACAGTCGTTGTCTCCACTCTGCCATGAGATCTCGCCGGAGCTCATTCCGCCACGCACTAATTTGGCGCGGCAGAGGATCTTCGCCCCGGCGACGCGCGTCTGCGCGCAATCTGTAGACGCGCGCGAGCGCCTTCGCTTCTAGATCCCACGGCGGTGATCCGGCAAGGAGGTTCGCCGCCTCCCCGGAGATCGTGCGATACCCGCGGATTACTCGTATAGCCATGACCCTCTGTGACGCGACCAGCGTACGAGCCGGCCGCCGCTTCAAGTCCGGCGCCCACACAGGGGCACCGTAGAGGGCCATGGATCGCACAATCCCCATATACAACCTCCGGCAGGAGGCGTTTGGCCCCCCGAGGTTGGGAAGGAGCCGCTTGAGCGCGGCCCCAGACCGTTCCAACTTAGGGGCCAAACGACGAAAATGCTCCGTGAAGTTCCATCGGCTGTCGAGGACGAGACCCAGGTACTTCATCGCCGACTCGACGCCGATGGTAACTCCTCCTGCCGTTACTTGGGACCCACCTGGAGGTGGCGCGCTCCGACGGCCATAGAAGCACATGGCCTCGGACTTGTGGAGCGCCACCTCGAGTCCCAACTGCCGGATCCTTGCAA